CAGGTGGAGAGGGGGATTGAAATGTCATCAAATTATATTTTAGGAAATTGCAAAAATTCAATTTTAAAAATTACAATTAAAAAATACCCTTTTCTTATTTCTGTTTCCCTAACTAGAACTGGTAGTGCTAACTACTCTTGCCTTTACTTTTCCCTCACATCCCCTCCCTGGCACCAGTCAACTGACTTCCCTTTCTCCCTATAGTCAAGAATTATGCACTTTTTAAGGTCTTTTAGATAGACCTACTGAAGGGGTACCCCAGTTGCCAGACCTGATGTCCCTATTCAGCATGGAAGGAGCCAGAGTGGTTATTGTCCCAAATCTCACTGGCAATTAGGGTAACCTCCTCAGAGGGTGACATGATAATAGGAGATAGAAATTACCTAGGCAATTTGGTGTAAAAAGACCCCCCCCAAAAAAGTAACCTGTTGCATTCTTGGCTAAAAGCCAAAATGTCCTTGGGCCTCTTGGCAGCCTACTCTATCAAAGTCTGGAAATTCCAAAAGTATTTCAGGGTTCGGATCTGAATCTAAAAGATTTTATAGCTAACTCTTCAGAGGGGGGAATGTTAGAGTATCAAAAAGTCTTGTAAGATTAACTGACCCCCCTCCAAAAAAAAATCTGTGGCCTGAATAAAGACCCAACTTTCCAGTTCTGCCAGATCACCTGTTCACAGGACCACCCCTAGATAGGTAGGTTTACCTTAAGTCATATTAAAGGGATGGGTAGAACACCTCGTGCATTAATGAGATGGTAAGCTTTGCCCACCCTGGATCCCACCTCTTAGCTCAGTTCTTGTGGATCAAGTAACACGGAGTTGTGTGGCTCTCTGTAAGTTTTTGCTAGCTTTTCTGAAATCTTTAGAATTCTTCAGAAAAGCAAATCTCTTTTTTCCTGTATACCACGATTTCCTCAATGCTTTGGGCTGATCCAACATTTTGGGTTTCTTTACTCTGTCTCTAAAACTCCCTTCTCCCTGCCATCCGGTGTCTTTCTGACCTCCATGCAGGCTCTAAACCAGCATGGATGGCTTTGTGGCTCTTTTCCTGCTCCACTCCATTCTTCCCCTCAAGGCAGCTGCTGAGATCTATGGCTTGCCTGTCCTGGGGATTTTTCCTTAAATTCTAATAAAACTGTCCTAAAGCTTCCATTTGAGTCCATTCTTAAATTTTTTAAAAAATTATTAGTTTTATTTTATGTGTGTAAGTGTATTGCCTGTATGTGTATAAGTGCAGCTGTGTTGTGCAGTGCTCACAAAGGTCAGAAGAGGGTGTAGGATCCTTTGGAACTGGAATTATAGACAGTTGTTAGCCACCATGTGTGTTCTGGGGGCTGAACCCGGATCCTCTACAACAGCAGCCAGTGCCCTTAACCTGAGCATCTCTCTAGCCCATTCTTAATTTCTTTTACAAATGAGAATAAGGACCCTCTAGGGTGGGACCTTATTCTTTCCTATGTCAATGATATTACCTAGTGTCTCCTAAGAAGACTCACTGCACTCATTCCCCAAGCTTCCCTTTACCTACCAGCAGAAGGACTGTCATAAAATACAAATAAAATTGAGTAACTCCTGGAGCCTCAACCTTTGAGCACTTACCACTGATAAACAGAGGGAAAGCCTTACTCTACCTTGAGCCCCATTCCTGCTTTCCCACTGGGCCTGCTTTCTATGTACCTCTCTGGCTAGTCATTGTGACCTGATTTTCTCTCTGAACATTTTCAAACATCCAACCTTAGATGTCTAACAGACTTCTCACACTCAACAGGCCCCAATTTGAAATCATGATCTTTCCTATCAATTCTCTTTCTGTTAGAGTAGCAAAAAACCCCACATGATAAACTGGTCAACACTATAAAATCTCTATCTGTTGGAAGACACACCTTTCCATTTTCACTGGTTAATCACTGGTCATAGGACCATCCATATAAAGGCAAGTTCATCTTACGGCATGGTAAATAATGGGCAGAATACCTAGTATATTAATGAGGTAGTGGATTATTCTTCTTAAACTCTTTATTTTACTTAAAGAATATAAGCACTATAGGGAGTAGTGTCCACTTTTCCCGCATGGATTCTGTCTCCTAGTGCAGTGCTTCTGAATCTGGCCACAGACATGTAGCTCTCTGTAAGTCTGTCTGATTTTCTGAATTCTTTAGAAAAGCCTAATCTCTCCTTTTCTTCTTCATATCCCTTTGCGAAGTGTGCTTTCTCTAATGCCTTGGGCTGCCCCAGCACTTTGTATTTCTTTGCTTTCCTCTAAAGCCTCTGTCTCCCAGGCATGCGGCTGCCAGTCAACCATGATCTGTCCTCCATGCAGGCTCTAAACCTGCATGGCTTCATGGCTTTTTTTCCTTCTCCCCTCCATTCTCATCCTCAAGACAGCTCCTGAGATTTCCAGCTTGCTGCCCTGAGGACTTTTCTTTAAATTCCCTAATAAAATTGTTCTAAAGCTTCTGTTTGCCATTCTTAAATTATTTTATGAATGAGACGAAGAACCCTCTAGAGGATGCATTCTCCCCTATATCATTTCCAAATTCTTAGATGAAAAACCTTGGGCTGTTTTTTCACTTTTTCTTTCACTCTTTTACAATTCACATTATTTGCCAGCAAGAAATTCCAATGGCTACTTTTGAAATATTCAGAACCCAACTTCTCCTCCACATTCCACACTGAACCCTTGGTCTGAGTTACTGCCATCTCTCACCTTGATTATAAAGACCTCTCGGTTTCCCTTTTAATATCTTTGTGCCCCACTCATCTAAAACATTATAGATTTTTTATGTCATTTCTCAAAACCTTGCAATGACCTCATTTTACTTGGGTTAAATTCAAATTCCTAAGGGTGTCTCCAAAGCCCTATGTGATCTGCTCCCACTGCCCCTCTGACCTCATATCACACAACCCTCTAGGATGGCTGGCGTCATTCCAGCATATTCCACCTTGCTAGTGTTCAAACACCCCAACCAAGCACTAGCCTTACAGCTTTGCAAGAACCCATGCCCTCTGCCTTAAATGAGCTCCCTGAGATGGACACACAGCTCAACCTTCTTTCATATCTAATGCAATCAATAATATCCAAACTAGATAAGTGAAAATGGTAAATGGCTCCTTTCCAAATTTTTCCTTTTCTACTTTTTAAAAATAAATTATTTTTAAAACAGCCACATAGCAAAACACTATGTAATTTACTTTTATTTTACTTAAAGAATTTAAGCGCTATAGGGGTAGTGTCTATCCCATTTATGTTTTTCAAATGTCTATAAACAATACCTAAATGCAGTAGGCTTCCTGGAGTAACTGTTTAACAAATGAATTAAACACTCCAGGCAGTATCCAGCCCCCATTATTTGGGGCTGAGTATTCAAATTATTTGGGAGAAGAATCTAGGAAGTAAAGGAACAAGATAAAAGGAAATAGGATGGGGATGCAGTGTGGGGTGGCTCCTGTTAGTAGGATACCTGCTGGAAAGGGACAGGATGCCCTTACTATTTGTCATAAGATATAACCAACACTTTTATTTTCAATCTTTTAGTCTATCAGCTCTAAAAACTGACAGATGCTTTTGTAAAAAAGTATACATATGCATTTGAACTTTTATATCAGCTTGGAAAATAAATTCTGAAAACTGAATAAACATTTTCAACCAGAAGGATAGGCCAAACTGGACCCTCCTGGTGGGCTGCGACACCAGGGGACTTCCTCTGCAGATTGCACCTCTTACTTATGATGCCTACTTGCTTTTCACGTTTAAGTTTGACACTTGAGCAAGCTTTCTGATTCTGCTTCTGGTTTCCAAGTCTACAGTAGAATTCCATCGCACTGAGTTTGGGGTGGGAGCGCACACATCCAGCTCAGACCCTCTTTGAATACCTAACACGGAATTGAGGCTTGGTATCTGGGATACAGTAGCATTCTGATAAATAAATAACTAAATTTTGTAGAAAAATACAGGGCTGTGAGTTCACTTAATATAAACAGACAGAATTAAAGAACAGAACCCAGTCCCTTCTTTATAGTTGTCTTTAAGTTAGCAGAATGTTCTTTAGTTAAAGAAAAATAGTGTTTAAGATCCTTTCTAATCCTAGGATAAAACTAAGCTCTCAAAAAAATAAGCATTTATAAATTTTCTTTATTATATTTTAGATAGTTAAAATTGATTTTAAAAAACTTTCACGGTGCTAAGAAAGTGTTATTTTAAGAGTAAGAGCTTAAAATAAATTTGGGAGAAAATATTTTAAGATTACTTTGGGGGATCCTCAAGCAGGCCAAATCAGAAAAATTGGACAAAGGTTGATAAACTGCACTTTCACGGTTTTCCACAAGATGTCAGCATGTAACTGAGCAACTTCAGTCTTAGTGTGAGGGGTGTATTCACTTAAGTAGAACAATAGAAACCCTTCATTTTGAGATCTGCTAGAGCTTTGGCAACTCAATTCATAAATGTAATTTCATACATATTTTATTATGATAAACACAATTCTTAATTTATTCTTACGGTAGTTTGTAAATACTAGTCTATACATATATGTGTGTGTATGTGTATATTCGTTAAAATATTAAAATTTCTTTACAACATAACTGAACATTCTGAACAAATGAAAAACCTTTAAACACTTATTGAGTTCTAGGATTGATCTTCAGTCCAACAAAATCACTAATTTGGTTACGTATCTGGATGAGTTTCATGTTTCCTCATTTTATGGATGAAAAAAAGATTAGTGGTTCCTGCAGGAGAATTTTTATTTATGCATTATACAAGCAGTGGTATCTAGACACACACACATACACAGGGGGAGATAGTCTTTCTTGGCTATTTCTTTGTTCTCTATCACTAAAGCACATGGTGAGTCCCATAACTGACCAAATTTCAATATGATCATTATTAATGCAGTAACTGAAATCTTTCCCTTACATGATTAACCAAGGCCATCTAACCAGTAGAAAGCCATCCAATGAACAGAATCAAATCACAGTAAATATGTCTTAAAGATTTTCTTACATCACTTGCAGTCTTATCTTGCTTCTCATATTTTTCTCGGTCATAAGCCATTTTCTTCAGCAATTTCTTCATGGCTTTCTTATCCTTTCTTTGATTTTCAGTATTATGCTTCCTCACTTGGTTTACAATAAACTTTGGAATCTACAGAAAAAAGAAATTCAGTTTTAGGGAGAGAAAGATAAGGTATCATTTTAAACTAAATAAATATCCTTTTTTTTTTTCTTTTTGTAATTAAGGAAGAATAAAGGTTCTGTCTGTTTCTTAAGAGGAAGTCATTTAAATAAGTGGTCATTAACTCCATGAAAAGAAAATGCATAGTGTATTCACTTGGGCCATGCACAGAGCATTCACATGGTGTGATTTACCACCCATTATGCAAGGCTCCAAAAGGGGGCTTTATGAAGTTCAAGGACATACTGGCCTCTTCCATGATTGGATGTCAACTCTGGAGGCTCCCTGAGGAGAGCCTTAGTGGAGGCCACCACCTCTTCAGTTTGTCCCTTTAGCAACCACAACCCTATAGCTCTGATAGCTAACCTACAGACTCCTTCTAATAGGCCAGATGGCCTTCACTGCCAGAGAGGAAAGAAGCTCACCCATAAACAAAAGCCAAAGACCAGGTAGTGATACTTGAGGAAAAATCTTTCCTTACAAAACAAATTAAGAACAAAATATTTTAAGTCATTAAAACATAGCTATGAAATAATGTCGCACTTGCAAGAGGAAGACTTGATAACTGCACATTGATTTAAACGTATTTTAAATAACTTGCATCACTTGCTTTGATATAACACAAAAAGACTTCCAAATCTAGAGAGCATCACTTTGTCTTCTTAAAAAATCCTAGGGGAGACTCAAATAAAGTATTGAAATATTAAATATTGTAATTTTGCTTGGAATTTCTTTAGTTCATTTTTCTACCTACCTCAAAAAGGCCTCTTTCTCTGAAAAATTATAAATTTCACTGGAAATGAGACTGTAACCAATTAAGCCTCTTATCTCTCCCCATGCTGAATATCTGACAAAACTCAATCTCAAAAAATGGGTAAAGCAAGAGACCGTTTGCAAGACCTTCTTAGCAGTTGGGCACAGAATGTGTATGTCCCTTTAAATAACAGTTCTGTAAAAAACAAGAGTGATCTGAAGCAGAGGCAGCCTGGGTTTCTAAAAAGACAACAGGCCTGAATACTAAGCAAAGGGGAAGTGGGCAGACAAGCTCAGTAAGAAGTACTTCTTACAAGGCGTGTTTTCTTGGCCTGATTTCAAGATTTTAAAATAGAAACTCACAAGGTCCTCCTTACTTCTGTGAATCAAACCCCAATAATATTCCTGCACTCAAAAATTTTAAATGTAATTTTCTGTTCTTTTTTTTTTTTGAGACAGAGTCTCCCTGTAGCCCTAACAGTCCAGGAGCTCGCTACGTAGACCAGGCTGGCCTCGATCTCACATAGATCCTCCTGCCTCTGTCTCCCAAGTGCTGGGAATAAACGCATTTGCTCCCAGGCCCAGCTAAATGTAATTTTATAAGACTGGTAGCCAAAATGCAATATATCATTAAGCCATTAAGAAAAGAAAGCACATTACTTTTTAATATCAACTTTATGAAGTTATTTTCAAGATTATTATGAACAATTATGCTAGGAAGTTATATGCATTATTGCAGTTTAAAAACAAATACCACATGCTTTTTCTTCTATGAGGAACCTAGATTTAAAATTCTGTGTGTGTGTGTGTGTGTGTGTGTGTGTGTGTGTAGGCACATGTGTGCCACAGCACTCATGTGGAGGTCAGAGGACAATCCTGTAGAATTGGTTCTTTCCCCCCTTTACATAGGTTCCAGGGAGGAAACTCCTCAGGGTCATCAGGATCAATCATGACTGGAGGGAAAAAAAAGTAGAAGAGAAAGAGAGGGTAATGGAGTACTGGGGGTGGGGGAGGAAGAAAACCAGAGACCTAGGGGAGGGTGTGCAGAGGGGCACTGAGTGGAGGGAAGCAACAATTGGGAAAAAAGTACAAGGACACATAGGTATGAAGCTGTCACTCTGAAACCCATTACTTTGCACACTAACCTGAAAAATTAACCTAAAAACAAAGACTTACCGTCCAGAGAAGCTGCTGATACTTAATCAGTAAGTGCATGGTATTTGCTGTCCCAGCTGCCATCACAAATTCTTGCTGTTCTGTGGACTTCAAACCCAGCCCATGGCACATGAAGAGATTTGGGGCCATGACCATTGCAACATTCACGACTGTCATTTTATTTTTCTCTTTATTATCTATGACTCTTTGGAGGAATTCGAGCAATGCCTGAAACAAAAACGACCAAGATTTCCATTATATAGGGAGACAAGAGCTGAAAGTACTGCTGCATATGGGATTTTTATCATTTAAAAAAATAAGAGCAAGCCAGGTGTGATGGCACACCTTCCATCCCAGCACACGGGAGGCAGAGACAGGCAGATCTCTATGAGACCAGCCTGGTCTACACAGTTCCAGGCAAGCTGTGGCTACAGTGAGACCCTATCCAAAAAGACTAAAAATGAATGAATGAATGAATGAATGAGTACACAAGTAAATAAATAAATAAATGCATAATGGCTGATGAGATGGTTCAGCACTTGCCTCCAAGCTTGACAACCTGTGTTCAATCAGAGGAACTTACATGGTAGAAAAACAGAACTGACTCCTAAAAGATGTCCTTTGACTTTCACATGTGCCATTGCACATACACACACACACAAAATAATAATAATAATAATAATAATAATAATAATAATAATAATAGTAATAATAATACATAAAATAAGGTCACTGGTTGCTGTTCCAGGGGATCTAGGTTTAGTTCCCAGAACCCACATGATGACTAACAACTCATTGTAATTCCAGTTTCAGGGGATCTGAGGCCCCATTCTTGCCTCTGTGAGTACTGCATCCATGGATGCACTTACATACATGCAGGCAAAATATACTCATACACATAAGATAAAAATAAGTAAATAATGAAACAAACAAACAAACAAAAATCAGTTGTCAGGACCAGGGAAGATAGCTCAGGTGGTAAAGTGCCTACTGTACAAGCATGAGGACCCAAGTTCCATTCCTAGCATCCTAGCATCCAAAAAGTTGTGTGAGATAGTGTGTTCTTATAATCTCAATGCTGGGGAGGTACAGACAGGCTTACTTGCCACATTGACTCTGGCCTCCACATGCACACATATACACATGCATATGCATATACATACACACGAAGTCAATTATGCAAAGCACAATCAGCTATCTAGATCCAGCAGGCCTTATCAGCAAAGCTCCTCCCTTAGGTTGGTGACACTTGCTTTGACCCAGGGCCATGGCAATGGGCATTGAGGCATAGAGTACGGCTGAGGTGGCAGAGAGAAGAGTGGGCAGTGCCAGTCCTCTAAGCCCACAGGAGCCTCCGAGCACTGAAAAGCAGTTTAAATATATAACCATTCACATGGTTCAGGAAAATGCTGTTCTTTTATCACTAGGAATTAGAAGAGAAAAGAAAGAAAGAAAAAAAGAATATACTTGACAGGCTCATTCAACTCAGCCATTTGCATTAAGGGACTGGACAGCAGGTGGGCATGGAACCTGAACAAAATGAAGACTGCAATGGAAAAGGAGGGGCTACCAAGAAACATCAGAGAGACTTTTGACAAAGTGAGGGAATGAACGAAAGGGGACTTGACAGGAGAACAGGCCAGGTCTTGTTTAGCTTCACGCCCGCACTTCCACCTCTATCCTACACTCTCCTCTGAGCTGTCCGCCCAAACCACCGTCAGCTTAGGGCAGCCCTCTCTGGAAAGGCTTAAAGCTTTAGGTGTTTCTTTTGTCTTTTTGTCTAAATGAAGAATAACAATAACTGCAGAGGTGCTGGATGCTCTCCATGGGTGAGATGGTATATTAAGCACATGTTACAATGTTCCATTTAATCCTTACTAGAGACTGACAGTGTAGCCATTTCCAGCTTACACAGATGAGCAAATGATGTTTTAGAGAGCATTAACTAACTTACTAGAGGGCACACAACCAATAAGTGCAGGAAAGGAATTTAATTGCAGATCTACATGGCTTTTGTTTCTGAACTCAGTAAATACTAAAAGAATTATGTTTCATTATTTAGCCTAAAAACCCTACCTTAAAAACTCAAAACAGTCTAGACTAAAATGAAAAAAAAGTGAAGCAGAGCAAAACCTGCTTTTTACAAAATTTCAGGACAGAACCAAAACCAAAACAAACACAAAACAAAAAAGCCAAAAGCAAAACCCATCCCATCCTCTAATGCTGACAGATTGATCTTTTATCAAGTTTAGTTGCAATATAGACCTCAGAAATTTGAAACAAACTAAAGACAAAGCCTTAATATCTAACAGCAAAATTTATGTACCTAATATCTGGTACAGTGCTCAGAAAGCTAAATTGTAATCCAAGCATCCTGTTATATTGAAACAACATGTTCACAAATGAGCACAAAAGATTAATTGAAGTTTGGAAAAAATACTTAATTTTGTTCCACAGAGACCAGAATGGTTGTTCAGGGACCAGTGTTTCTCTTGCTTTATGAGCATAAATTACAAAGATCAGATAATTACTTTAATTGTGGCGTGCATATGCAATAAGATTGTTCAAAATATGACTGTAGGAATTCTAGAAAGAAGCAGGGAGAGGAAAGAGAAAGAAAGGGAGAAGAGAGAGAGAGGATAGGAAATTAATAAGATGTGAACTTGGCCCTTGATGAAAAAGCTACAGTGTTTTCATTTGTACTATAAGAACTGTCCTTTTCTAAGCAGGTATCAACCATACAACCATCAACTTTGTGTGAGAGGACACACTTTTGCAAATCCATGCCTGAGGACCAGCACAGTAATGACTATGGATGGGCATAGGGTATATATTTTTTTATCTCTTTACATTTCTTTTCATCTGTAAAATGGGAACACTACTCTCTTGGCCTTCAAGAGTTGAGACAACAGCCAGGTATGGAGGCACATATGTTTAATCCCAGCCCTCACTCGGGAGGCAGAGGCAGATGGATTTCTGTGAGATCAAGGCCAGTCTTGTTTATATAGTGAGTTCCAGGCTAACTAGGGCTACAGGGAGACCCTGTCTCAAAAAAAGACCAAAAATAAAAAAAATAAAAGAATTGAGACAATATACATAACAAAGTTTTCAAAATTATATTATAAAATGGGCTGAGCAGTTGAGTGCATTTGTTACTCTTGCAGAGGCAGATTACAACTGCCTGTAACTCCAGCTCCAAAGGATCCAATACCCTCCTCTGGCCTCTGTGAGCTTTTGTACCCACATTCAAACACACACATACATATAAATAAGAATAAAATAGATATTTTTAAGAAAAGAAAACAAAGTGGCGGGAGAGATGGCTCAACAATTAAGAGAGCATACTGTCTTTACAGAGGACTGGAGTTTGGTTCCCAGCACCCACATCAGGTGGTTCACAACCACCTGTAACTCCAGCTCCAGGGGTTCTAATGCTCTCTTTTTACGTTAATGAGCACCTGCACTCAATGAGCACATACCCACGTACAGATGCACACGCACAGACATAATTTTTTTAAAAATCCTTTCTTTAAAGTTAAAACTATAAGTGGAAACGTGGCGATTGTATCAACATGAATCCTTTCTTGATATCTAAAAACCAGTCTTCTCTATTCCTCCAAGTCAAAAGTAAGGTATGTTCTTTGATCCTAATGCATGATCCTCCAAGGGAAAAAGCAATTTTGGTGAAGCACTTGTCAAAGACATCTATCACTTTAAATTTTCACCAAAATAGAGTGTTCAACTTTGACCTCTAGAAGACCCTTAGGTTCGCCACAGGAGAACTGTGCATGAGTCACACCAAGCTCTGCTCCTTCAGAGAGCACCAGAAGGATGGTGCAAGGATTGGATTAGCTTCGAGACCTTCACAGTGAGCTTCCCAAAGTTACACTACATTGGAGTTTCCCCTTCTCTTTTATGTAACTAAATTTATAGTTTGTTGCATATGTTTTAACAATGCTTCTATTAATAAAACTCTTTTCTGTTCCGATTTGTTTTGCATTTTTGAGACAGGGTCTCAGTACATAGCCCTGGCTAACTTGGAGTTCACTATGTGTACCAGGCTGGCCTCAAACTCATTGAGATTTACATGCCTCTGCTTCCTGAGAGCTAGGGTTAAAGGAGTGGGGTTAAAGGTGTGTGCCACCATGCCCAGCCATATCAACATAATTCCTGTTTGAAACTTCCATCAAAGTCAGCTAATTATATAAATAAGTACAATTACTAGTTTGCATCTCTTAGAGTTTACTCAAAAGCATTTTCACATTTAATTATAAAATTACACTTGCAGAAAATTCACATAAACATTTTTAACTATCCCTAAATTAAATATATAAAAAAGAGAATTGTAAAGTGAATGTGCCTGTGACTTTGAAGGCCAAGTCCAAAGAATTCTAGACAGCCTTGTCCACTAGCACCCACAATGGAATGCTTCCTCCAACAACTGTTTGTGTGAGGTGTTGGTCTATTTTAACTCATGAGTCTTTCAGTTCCCCCTTTTCGCTCTTCATTCACAGGCCTGTCACGAAAACTAGCACTTCTGTATAAGAAAAGGATGTTCCTTCCCTTTCTGGGTATTGGAAACTGTGTCCAGGGGGTAGCTGTCTCTACTTTATTGCAGGCCAATTTCAACCACCATCTCCACACTCCTACACAGCCACCTTGCTCAAGCTGTATTGGAATCAAAGCATCCCTACGGTTGGCCTTGCTCAAAATCAAACCCAGAGCTACCTCTTGAGTTATGCACTGACAATCAGTGAAATGAAAAATCTGTCCCTGATTTAAGAGAGTAATGCTTCCTAAGTTCTCTAGCAGTGGACGTACTATTTTGTTTCCAGTAATGTTCAGAAGATGCTTCATCAACAAAGGTTGAGTAGTACATTTATTCTGTGGCTGTAAAGAGACATCATTCGTGAAGTTACAGCTAAGGGTTATTTTTTTCTTTCCTTTTTGAGACAGGGTATTAAGTAGTCCAGGCTGGTCTCAAATTCAATATATACCCAAGGATGACCTTAAACTTCTGACCCTCCTGACACCTGAGTGTTGAAATTACAGGCATTTGCATTCCTGGTTTATGTAGTGCCTAGGATTGAACCCAGGGCCTCGTGTATGCCAGGTAAGCACTCTATCAACTAAGCTACATTCCCAACCATCAAGGATTTTCATGAGTTGTAGGAAAAAAATTTCCAAGATTTAACAACTGGTTTTCTTGACATTTATTTTTCTCATGTGAGGTTTCACTTTAAAGGAAAAGAAATGTAGAAAATAAAAAGGCCAGGCTCACAATACATACACAAAGTCAAGGCAATAACAAACTTTAAGATAATTGTTTCTAAATCATATATTGAATTTTTTCGGTGTTTTTTATAAATTTATAATTAAACCCTTACCACTACTTAATACACTTTTGTTTGTTTTGTGAGGCTATGGTCTTACAATGTATATGTAGCCAGGCTGGCCTCAAACACACCATCTTCCTTCCTCCAGAGCTCTGGGCTTACAGATGTACCCTAATAACACTCAGCTTCAACATTTGCCACTAAGGAAAATTAACCAGTGTGAAACTGATCCAGTGATCCACACTGATTCCAAGGGCCTCTGGAAATATTTCTAAAATATATTAAATTCTATGAGCATTATGACAACTTATTTTTAAATAATTTTACAAATTAAAACTTCCATCCCTTACAGAAGTAACTTTAAGCTAACATTTTAACTTATTTCAAACTCTACCACTTGGAATTATAAACAATTATTATACCTCAGGAAATAGTGAGCTATATTTGGTAAGCACTTGGATTTTCACTTTAAATGCTTGATTTTTGCTTTATTAATACAAGTTCATAAAATTAGAAACTGTAAAACAGCAAGTAAAAAATACAGAAAAAGTTTAAATTTGTAATAATTAATGAACCTTAATCATCTGCTTTGACAGAAGAAATATTATTGTAAAATTGAAAAAGAAAATAACCAAAAACCTAGAACTAGGAGTGGTGGTCCCTAAAGTTCAAGGCTGCTACTCAGTAAGACCTTGTCTCAAAACGACAAACACAACTACCTACCGGAGACATGGCTCAGAAGGCAAAGCGCTTGCCACACAAGCTTGGGGACCAGAGTTTGGATCTCCATCACCCACGTAAATAATGTTAGGCAGGTGTGGTAGCCTGTCCGCAATCCAGCATGTGGGAGATAGATACAGGAATCCTAGGACCTAGCTGGCTAGTTAGACTAGTCAAACTGGCAAGCTCTGGCTTCAATGAAGAGACCCTGCCTCAATATATAAGGCAGTATTTGATCAAGGAAGATACCTAAAGTGTCCCAGCACCCACATCAGTTTATAACCACCTGCTTCTCCAGTCCAAGGAGACCTCATGCACTCTCCTGGCATCATCTGAGGTAACCTGCATGCATGTGGTATATACACAGGCACCCAAAGACACAAAGAAAATAAATAAATCTTTTTAAAAACCTCTAGTTACATTAATAACATACATAATTTAATAAAACTAAGAATAAATGACTGAATTATCTGTCCTTAAAAGCAGTTCTTTTCTTTTTAGATGTTTATTTCTGTTTCCAGGATATATAAATAACGAAAATTTACTCTGCTTAGGGGACTGGAGAGATGACTCGGCGATTAAGAGAACTGGCAGCTCTTATAGAGGACCTGGGTTTGGTTTCCAGAACCCACATGGTGCTAACAACCATCTTTAACTCTGTGTCCAGGGGATCTAACACCCTCTTCTGGCCTCCATGGGCATTGTACACATGTGTACTTATATACATACAGGTGAAACACTCATATACATAAAACACAGAAATTGAAAAAAGGCTGCAATTACTCTGCTTTGCTCTAAGGGGGTATGTAATGTAAATAACCAGCTAACCTTCAGCGTGTCTCTGTTTGCATCAGGCAGGAGGATGACAAGGAGATTCAAGGCTTGCAGTTGCTCCTTCTTGGTTGGAAGATCTGCAGATAGACGAGATACATCTGAACTCTTTTCTTTATGAAACACTTTCCTTTTCCATTTTTCAAGGGAAAAAAAAAAAGAGTATTTGGTGTAAACATTACAGTGAAATGTAAGACACAATGACTGAGCAGCCAGCCTCATTGAGATAGTGTTTGCCGAGATCAGAAGAAGCAGCTGCTCAGAGCTTCCTGGCTCTTACGATGCTCGCTTCCAACTGTGATCACATGACAAGGGGCCTTATGTTTGCAGACATACAACAGTGCTTTGGAAATCCTTTTAACTTCTGCATGGTAATTATTCCCCAATGAAAAGACGGAGAAGATTGAACTTCCTATGATACCCTACCAAGCATGCCTCTGGAACAGTGACGTTTGCTTCTTCTAATGGCAAGGGAACTAGATAAGAGAGGAGAGTCTATCCATTCCAACAGGCAGTTGGAAACACAGGGTCTGGAACATGATAGGTGTCCAATAAATGCTTGTGGAATGAATGAGAAAGCAATCAGCCAGTGGAGCTTCTAGGAGGTGTGTGATTACCATCAGTGCCTAATAGTCACAGGCATTTAGAATCATGTCCATATTGCTTTGTCTGCTGGTAATAAATTTGGACCATATCCAGGAAATGTATACAAATAATGTAATTTAATCATTAAAAATATTTTAAACAGAAGATGGTTTCTTTTGCCTAAAGAAGAAATGTGTTAAGGAAAAAAATACTTTAAATAGTAGTTTTCATGCTTCCTTTAGAAATTCTGAAAAACAAATGTTATGATACTCAATGATTTAAAGTACTCACACCAATACTGCACACCCTAAAGAATAGCCAGGAACAGTTCTGATAGCACTATATAGCTCTCTATCATTATTAACAGTTCCTTCATTCACTTCAAAGTATCCCAGTTTGGAAGTTAAGGACGTGGTTACTTGACTCATTAGCACATTTTTTTCTTACCTGATGACCCTAGGAGAACATGGGACAATCAGAGCAGCATATAAACCTTATAAGATCTCTGTGTTCCCTGGAAGAAGAATCAAGATCTACTATTGATCTTAATTTGAAGTCTGCCCAGGACCACAAAATGGCCACACACCAGAAGTCTGTGCCTTTCTCTACCAGCGAAACAGCAAAATGCTCCCACATGGCAATTTCAGGATTTAATTTTCAGGAAATTCTCATAGACACTATGACATCCCCTTGTGCTTTTATAGTAACTGTTAATCCACAGCTTCTCTAGTATGTGTTGCTTTTAACACTTGGTGAGAAAACCACATCAGAGCTCTTACATGACTCACACTATTATGAGAGAAATGCGAAGTTTCCAGGTTTTTAACACTAAATGTACTATATCACTTAAAGTCCAGGCAATTAACCTGTACCTGAAAAGAACATTTTGTTGTGTGTTTACTTAAACATGTATGTTTATGAAAGGGCAGCTGTGTGCGACATTTTGAGCAACCCTTGAAATCTGTGAGTCAGTATGTCTAACCAAATACATCTGATTATGTGCCTTGTGACACCAGATGTCACTAAGATGATTGGTATGGGTGGTACCAGCTCACAGGCTACTTCCAGATGGATGGCACTTACTCTGGACAGCCTGGAAGGCTTTGAGATACTCCACACTGAGCAGAGGATGGGGCAGCTCCCGGAGGAAAAGCTTTAGCAGGCTAGCAGCATCGTGCTGTTTGACACTTTCCCAGTTGAAAGTCCCTTCATAAAACTTTGCTTCTAGTTCTTGGCAAAGATTCTGAAATGCACAAGGAGAAAAAGAAGTTAGTAGCAAGAACATTTTTTTCCATTTTAAAAGTGTGATACGCTGGGTGTGGTGGCGCATGCCTGTAGTCCCAGCACTTGGGAGGCAGAGGCAGGTGGATCTCTGTGAGTTCAAGGCCAGCCTGGTCTACATAGTGAGCTCCAGGACAGCTGGGGCTACAGGGAGACACTGCTTCGAAAAGACAAAAAAAAAAAACCAAGTGTGATACAATTTCCACTTTACAAGGCTTCTACTCTAAAGATGTATCAGAATAGCAAAAGTCAACATTTCCGTTCCTCAGAAAAATGCCATCCTTCAACTTTGTACATACCATGGAGAAATTGTACCTACAGTTAAAAATTTTTAAACATGTTGTCAGACTTTAATTAGCAAAGGTTTAATTAAAAGATAGTTTAAAATCATTTTTCCATTGGGCACATCACCTGAACATTACAATTTATCATTATATTAAAACAAATCATTTCAAATTCAAGACAATGTTTTAAAGCTATTTAGAAGTATATTACATAAAAAAACACATAGTCAGTCTCTGGGCCTAAAGCAGAAGGTTACGTCTAATCCATTATCTCTAGGAAATGAAAAATCCTACAGATAAGAAGGCATGAAAATGTATGAAGAAACCTGCTTTCAGTGTACCACAGTTCCACGGCCAGCTCTAGTTAGCAGTCTAAGTCCATGTAGAATGGGAAATGCCAAGGGTCCAGGTCAAATACTCTCCAGACTGTGCCAACCCAACTACTAATAAATCAATTTGGTTTCATAAGTACTATTTTTCTAGATTCATTTTTACTATGGCATAAATTATGTCAGAAATCCGTCCAAGTTTCTATTACTTCCTTCATTATTAGAACTATTTTCCCATAGTATGATTTTTGGATTTTGTTTTGGTTTTGGTTTTATTCTTTTTGGTTTGGTGCAAAGGACTGAACTCAGGACCTCCTGTGTGTTAAGCAAGTACTTTGCAACTGAGCTGCATCCTTAGTCCTTTTTTTTCTTTTAAAGAAAATTTATCACATTTTTTTCCTTATAAAACCCCTTATCCTTTACTACTACTATTATTGTTATTATGATGATGATGATTGTATGTGTCTGTGTGTGTGCATATGTGTGCACATGTGTGTAAACGCATGGGCTTATGAGTTTCATTGTAGGTGCTGGGAACAGAACGTAGGTCTCTGGAAGAGCAGCAAGTGCTCCTAACCTAATTTTCCACCTCCCTAACCTCATGGAGGCTACCCTGAGATTGAGTAGGGGAAAGGGGAAAGGGAGCAAAGGAGGGAAAAGAAAGGTGCGGGGAAGGAGAAACAAAGGAAGAGAGAGAGAGAGAGAGAGAGAGAGAGAGAGAGAGAGAGAGAGAGAGAGAGAGAGAGAGAGAGAGAGAGAGAGAGAGAGAGAGAGAGAGAGAGAGAGAGAGAGAGAGAGAGAGAGAGAGAGAGAGAGAGAGAGAGAGAGAGAGAGAGAGAGAGAGAGAGAGAGAGAGAGAGAGAGAGAGAGAGAGAGAGAGAGAGAGAGAGAGAGAGAGAGAGAGAGAGAGAGAGAGAGAGAGACAGAGACAGAGAAACAGCAACAGGAGACCAAGAGCGGGAACAAGACAGGAGAGAAAACAGTACAAGGAAGTTCAGTGGCACAGGGAAGAAAGGCTCCAAAATCTTGCATGATCTTTAAATTGTTTAGAATTGACTGGCAACAGCATGATCCGGCCTATGAGGACAGGCTGGGTTTAACAGTTGATACAGTTGAAGCCACTTAACTGGCCTTCTTAAGAAATTACATTTAGTTGGCCTTTTACCAATGTTGCCATCACAAAGTACAAACCCACATTATATTCCCCATTTTGCACTAAAGTAAACATATTTTAACAGCTGGGAATGGCCATCACACTCTGCTAGAGTGGTTCCAGGTGCTTTGAACGGTCCACTCTTTCCAACATAAATTTTCAGTGTTGGTTTGTGTTCGTTTTCATTTGTTTGTTTCTATGTATCCCTGACTGGCCTGGTACTTGCTCTGTAGTCAGTCTGGTCTTAAACTGGGGGCAACTCTCTTGCCTTAGTCACCTGAGCTGCAGAAGTATAGAACAGAGCCACCACACCCAGCTCTTGCTGACCTAAGTAACAGGAAGTCACATTGTTCATGAGCAATTGTTCCTCTGTAAGAGAATGTACTTCTCAACAGAAGTTTGACTTCAGAATCAAGCACAGTGTCCATGACCCACTGGAGAGCTTCCCATAGGAAACCATGTGAGAGAGTAGTTAGTCATGAACACACCAGACAATCTTGAGGGCTTCTATGTCCCAGACACCAGGCCCAAGAACATTTTAAATGGGTATATTTGGTTACAGAATCTCATATAAATGAGGGTACCGTACAGAAGAATCAGGTAGGTCAAAACAGTGTCCTGAAGTAAAGAAACTTACCAAAACAAGCAGGTAATACTAACTGTAGAACACATGAATTCTAACCCTAATAGCAGCACGGCTGGTAGTCACAGGCAAGAATGGCATGTACCCATCAAGACTCATTTAGGCTGCATCAGCTTTGAGTCGTTTATACAGAAACAGATCCTAAGAAAATAAACAGAAATTTTTCCTCCATCCTACTTCCTCATGGCTTTTCAAATTTGAGAAGATACATGTTAAAAGTAAGTAGTTTCTTATGTGTTTTCAGTTTAGAATTAATGGTGAATTTCGAAGACAGGTTAGGAGATGTCAAATGACCATTAACCAAAAATGTTTGCTAGATGAATTTTCTAAATTCAGCTACAGTTCCGAGTAGGACCCGCCTTCAGATTTCAAACCCCTAAAGGTGTTTGTACATTGTGTTGACTGTGAGCTCTCTCCTGTGCATTCGCACAGATGAAAGCAGCAAGGTACACAGTATCCTGGGATGGTAAGAAGAAAAGGGAAAGGACAGAGGGACACAGAGGCTCCACCTGGGAATCAACTAATTTTTGTCACTAGCCTGGCCACAGTAAAACAAGGAACTGTGACAACCAAGAAAGTGGTTGAAACAGCCTCATTTTGCTAGTTCATCAAGACTAATAATGTATGTGGCTATCTACTGTCTTCAAGGACCTTAATGTGCTCCCCACCTGGAGGGCTAGGTTCCAGTCTGTTTCAAAATCAAAACTCAGTTACTATTACTCATCCTGACTAATCTTTCATCCAACTCCCTAAGAACATTCTGAGTCATTGGGTTCTCTTTATCATAGTATTATAATAGGTATACAGGGATTTTGAAAAATGAAAACATAGAAAAACAAAGTATTTATAGAGAAACTATAAACTGGATATTAAGAGGTTTTATTGCTCCGTTTTATCCATTTTGCCAATAAGAATAAGGGTTGGGGAAGCTGTTAGCTTTTAAAATACACAAACCTAATTAAATGGTACATTTTCCCTAAGTGTCCCTCAACCCAAAATGTGTTATATTTACACAATGGAGTTCTATCCAGCAGTAAAGAAAGATGAAATAATGAAATTTACAAGTAAATGGATGGATCTAGAAACTGTTATACTAAGTGAAGTAACATAGACTCAGCGATGTATGTTCTTCCTCATATGTGGCTTCCAGCACCAAATCCTTTTAAATTCCAGGTCCTTTTAATAAGAAGATGCTATACAGCAGTCCCTTCTGCATGAAATAACTAACATCATCACAACTTTGGCTGAGCCTGATCTCTAAACATAGTCACAATGGGCTTGCTGACAGTTCATTAAAGGAGTGGCAAGCAGGGTCACTGGACCCTCATCCGCGTATCCAGCCACTCTTCCCAGCCAACTAGTCCAGATTTGGAAGACAAAAGAAAAATGAGGAAGAACCCAATAGAGGGATGCTTTTGGAAGCCTTGTCAAGAAACTCCAATGGACTGTCATATGAACATTTGAAAATTTGCCCTGTTCTTTTTTTCTAGTTCCCTGTCTAGAACTTGTAATGCTAATTACTCTTGCCTTTATTTCTCCTTCATGTCTCAACTTGAGTGTCTTTTAAATAGGTCCACTAAAGGGGCACCCCAATTGCCACACTAGTTATGGAATTTGACAATCTTTTAGATAGACCCACTGAAAGGGTACTCCAATTGCCTCACCCTGCATCCCTGTTCAAGATGGAAGAAGCCAGAGCCATCTGCATCCTGATTCCCTATCTGTAAACAGGGTGATTTCTTCAGAGGATGGCGTGATAAGAATAGGAGGTAGGAATTGGCTAGGCAGTTGGGGTAAAAAGTCCCCAGAGAAAAGTATATCTAATCCTTAAAAGATTTTAGGGTTACCTCTTCAGAGGGGGTAATGTTGGAGGGGAGGGAGTGGGCATGGATTTGATCAAAATACCTTATATACATGTATGAACTTCTCAATAAAGTTTTTGTAAAAATTTTTTTTAAAAAATCTATTATCTTCAACAACAACAACAACAACAAAAAGACACATTTTCCCATTGTTGCAGTTACCTTGATCCTTATGGCAGCTCCTGGTATTCGTAAGAGGCCTTCAGTTTCCAGACCGCCTTCTTCAATTCGAGAAATCAGCTGTGGATAAACAAACACAAAGCCATTCTGATGTTCATATTTGTAACAGGTACAATCTAACATCTGTTTTCCATATAAATAAGTGAGAGTTGATTACAACAGCATGCAAACTGGATCTGAATGCTATTGAGACACCCTTCTTTAAAGCTATAAATACAAAAATGAGTTAAAATTGAGAAGTTGGGTCTTAGTCTCCTTTGTAAAAGAAATGTATAAATTCACAGAATAGCTTGTGGCTTTTCCACACACAAAGAGAAAAGATGTTCACTATGTAAAAGCAACTAAGAACATCTTTCTTCTGCTTTTCCAGCAACATACATCACATCATCAAATAAATCTCATGAAATTCTGTTATTTGCAAATTTTCATACCATATGTAATTTGTTTCAAGAAGGAATTATTTTTGACATGTAAAAACATTTGCTAGTATTCATTTTAAGCCTTTGGTGATAAGCTTAATGAAAACTGCTTCCAAATAGGACTCAATACTTGGTGAATACACTCATATTTAGGTCCACCACTAAAATAAAGTCCTTTTTATAAACATATAGGCCAAAAAATTCACAAAAATCCAGTGGGGGAATTATAGCAGACCGGTAGAAGCTGTGAAAGAGAGATAAAGACAGAAGACTCCCTACTGGCAGTTACCTTCCAGTTGGAAACCTGGGTTTATGAATTCCCTGGGCAATGTACTGAGCCTATAGACGGTATTCTGCTGTTTTAAAGGAAGTCAATTTCCATGTCCTCTTCATAAATACAAGGCATTTATTAGCACTAAGTTTGTATTTCCTGTAACCTACTCCCTTTTCATAAAACTCTTCTCCTGCTTTATGAAACCCAGAGCTAGTCTTTCTGCAGCTCCAATCTTAGTGTAATATTCTTTCACACCCTAAGTCACAGAATTTCCCAGAATGCAAAAGAATGTTTTTAAAAGTTGGTCTTGTTTTTGTTTTTGATTTTCTTTCAGGGAAGCCTCCATTAATGATTGATCAAGGCTCTATAAACCACAGAGCTTAGTGACTTCCTCTTATATAAAAGTGTTGGTTACAGGCAAAGCCTGGCATTGGCAGGGAGGTCTTTGGACCTCTGCTTAAATGTTCTAAAATCAGATACACTGTAGCGTGTGGGCCCTGCAAGTGATGGTGATTTTTCCTTAATGACTTTATCTATTCTATGGTTGGAATACATTTTGACCAAAAGATGTACTGATATTGAGGGAGTCAGAGAAGGTGCCAAGAATACTTTCAGAGTCACCAAGGATTTATTATTGACTAAAGCATCACTGACCAGTCAAAGTACAATTTTTTTTTTTCATTCTAATTTTTCCTAGACCACGTTTTGATAGAAACCCATAGCAAAAATGAGTTATTTGAGAATTAGGATATTATTCAATAAGGTATTTAATGCCAAATTTATAAATATTCAATATACAACCAATTATTTTACCTTATAAAATGTTTATAATGTTTTCATATCCTATGAAAAAATCAAATTACATCCTGGCTGCTGAAGTAACTTAATTGTTCGCAGCATATACCTTTCACTTTCGTTAACTACCGAAGAAAATTGTGACTTCTAAATATAGACAAATGGGAGCAATTTTCTAACTTTCTTGTATTTGAATCATTTTTTTAGTGTTCTCTAAAGCTGAATCCCAGAATCCAATAGTTATGTGCATATTGTCTGGAAGAACACCGTGTGCTATCTGCTATTTCTCACTTTAAAAAAAATCACATACTGCAGCTTATTACATATTATTAAAGTGTAAATAAGAAATACTTTATAGCATTCCTTTTATTTTTCAAGATAAAATAGACATAAAATAACTATGTCTAATTATTCTCTTTGGGGAAATTTAGATATTCTGTAATTTAATAGTAATTTGTAGTATTTCTCAAAATATACTATATACATTTACATAGTATTATATACACACACACACTTATACAAACTGAAAAATGAATGGAAATTGAGACAGGCTCTTTTTGTTTTCTTAATTTTTGCTTTTGTTTTTTGACATGACATCCAATTTGGCGGATTTGTTTGATGGTAAAAACATCAGATTTGAAAATCTGATTATAAAGTACACTTCTTCCATAAATTAAAATGAACATTTGGCCAAGTGTGGTGGTACATGTCTTTAACCCCAGCATTCAGGAGGCAGAGGCAGCTGGATGGCTGTGAGTTCAAAGCTAGCCAAAGCCACATAGTGAGACTCCTTCTAAATTTTTTTTTTTAATCTCCTAATTCAAAATATTTCTCCTTATTCAATCCTTTCTGAGGACATAGTTTGAACAGTCTGCCTCCCAGCAAAAAGAAAGCAGATCAAGGAAAATAAAAGATAAAATTAACTGATATTAGACAAGCTTTTGATTAGTGCCCTTTGGGCATAAATTTTCTCGAAAATGAAAACATAATCCTCTGAAGACTGGTAGTCTATGTTTTCATAAATAATTATTTTCTTCTATGATGGTCAACTGTGTGTGCCAACCTGGTAAGTGTTGTGCTGTCCAGTCAAACATAGCCCAGATGCTACAGCAACTATCATTTAAATTACAGAGTTTGAGAAATGCAGATCTTCTTCTGAGAGATGATGAGACTCATCCATGAGGTGAGGACATAAAATCAAAATCTAAGTTTACAAAGAAGCAGCTTGTGGTGATTTAAATGAGAAGCGTCTCCCATAGGCTCAAGCATTTAAACTTTCCTCAGTTGGTGGCACAGTTTGAAAACAGTCATGGAACTTTCAGGAGGCGTGGCCTACTGGAGGAAGCCCTTCACTGGGGGAATGCTTTGAGAGTTCAAATCCCTGTCCCACTTACTGTTTGCTTTCTCTCTTTTTCTATGGCATGCTTGAAGATGTGAGCTCTTACCTTTCCACTCCAGCTGCCTCCTGCCCTGACTCCCCTGTCCTGATGGACTCTTATCCCTCTAGAAACACAAACCCATATAAACTCTTCCTTCTATAAGTTGCCTTGGTCATGCTGTTTTATCATAGCAACAAAAAACGAACTAATACACAGTTCTCTCAAGACTGCAGCATCAGCTCTTGCCCATTTCCATCCTGGTGGTTTGCTCCCACATTTCAGACTTGCTAGGTTCCTTTTAAATATTTTATTTATTATTTTTATTTTATGTGCATGAATGTTTTGCCTACATATATGTAAGCACACGACCTGTGTATAATGCCCCGCAGAGGCAGAAGAGGGGGTCCCCTGGAGCTTGAGTTACTGATGATTGTTAGCCATCATGTGGGTGCTGGGAACTGAACCCGGGTCCCTCTGGAAGAACAGCAAGTATTCTTAAAAAGCTCCCTTCTTTTTTAGTTTTTGGTTTTTAGAGACAGGGTCTCGCTATGTAACCCTAACTAGCTTGGAACTTGCTATGTAGACCAGACTGGCCTCAAACTCAAGAGAGATTGATCTGCCTCTATCTCCCAAGTGCCAGGATTAAGGCATACACTACCACACCTGGCTGCTAGGTTCCTTTTCAAAAGAGTCTTTCCATCTATTTTTATATACATCCTATTTATTCTGGAGAAACTTGATCAATACACCCAAGGAAGATGCTGCAGAGATTTCTCCTCTATAAAGCATCTCTATATAGTAATTCACTCCTTTCAACAAAAGAAACAAATGAATATGTAGTTTCTTTATATGTTGATCTCTTTCTCTTAACAAAAGGAACTTCTGTCAACTACTGATACAGATATAGGTTCTTTTTAATATTTTATTATTATTTTCATTTTATGTGTACGAGTGTATTGCCTGCATGTATGTGAGTGCACCTGTGTCGTGCAATGCCGTGAAGGTCAGGAGAGGGCTTCTGATTTCTCTGGAACTGGAGTTAAGGACAGTTTGTAGCTGCCATGTGGGTGCTGGGAATCAAGCCTGGCTCCTCTACAAGAGCACTCAGTCCTCTTAACCACTGAGCCATCTCTCCAGCCCCAGATATAGGTTCTATAGACAGTGGCAGAACAATTGTACAGAACAATATTCCTCAGAAGACATGGTAAGATAGAAGTTGGGATATAATGGTGGGAAAGAAGAATAAAGCTCTATCAGCTAAAACAAGAAAATGACTGATTTGGAACAGAAGAATAAATGCCGACCAGACTGAGCCTTGGGATTGAATGAGTTGTCTGAGTCAATCAATTGCAAAACAATTTCTTCTGTCTCCAGAAATTTCAGAAACTGATATGCCTGAGTTATTGCAAAGAACCTACAGCATGGGTAGTCCACAACTATTTGGCTTGCCTTCCTCACAGCGGATTCTCTGGATTTTATCAAATGTAATCTGTTCTGAGCAACGAGGTCTCAGAGGTTGAGCTGAAAAGAAAATGTTTTATTGCTACAGATAATCCCCTTATGAATAATTGAGTGTTGACTACACAAGCAACTTGATAGTTTAGCAATCATTTTCTAATTCTACTTTATGGTTTCTTTGCCTACATTGGACTTAGGCACTGGTAAATTAAATTGGACATCTTCACTGCAAATAGGAAAGCTTGGGAAATACATACATGCATGAAATATTCATGAGGATTCAATTCCCTAGATACGCAGTTCCCATTCCTATGTATTATAGAACTGAAATCTCAATTACACAAAGCCAGCTAATATAAGACAGGAAAATGATGCCAGGTAATCACAGTTATAGTAATAACACAGAAAGCATCACTATGAAATAAAAATTATGAGCCCTTGAAACAAATTTGCTTCCTGAATAGAAAAATCGACGTGTAAAATGAAGCAGCATTTCAATTGGAAAACTGTATCATAACAGTCTGGGTGCAAAACACCACTATTAGCCTAAGTATGTTCACACTGCACTGACCATTCAGGCTACTTACTTTTTGAAAGATCAAGGGTATTCGAGTTCCAGGCACTTTCTTTTGATCTTGTTCCAACAGTACAGTTAATGGAATACCAAAAAGACCAGAGTCTGCAACAAGGAAACAACGTTTTCACTTCCATCAAACTATAAAATATTAATGTAGAAATCTGAAAAAGTAAGATTTTTGACATTCTCATTTGCTGATGGGACTCTTTGTTGAGTACCTACTATGGGAATGGCCCCATAGATAGAGGCGAACAGTGAAGTCTTGACCCAGCTTCATAGAACAACCCTGTAGAAACATACAGCTACACAAATGACTTCAAATAGTCACTGAAATAATTAGAAAAGGGAAAACTGCTGCATAAGAAAAACAGACTGTTGCTAGAACGCATAAAATAGTCAAACAGTTTTCTAAGTGCAATCAAATTAAACCTTCTAGCATAAAGTCAAAGACCACGCATCTCTTCCAAACCAAACTGACAGTGAACATTCCATGATACAGCTGAATAGAAATACTTATTTTTGAGAATTCAGCCAATTCATCTACAAATGTTTATCTTCAGAAAATAAAGTAGGTATCTAGTACTCTTACATTTAAATATTTCATATTTTTATGAAATACCAGGTGATATTTATAAACATTCTAAACTCATATGGTTCAAGTTTGAAATGAACACAGCTCCTACCTACAACCTCTCCCTCCCTCCCTCCATCTGAGGAGACTGTCACCACAGAAGTGATCACTCTGTCCTTTAGAAATGACACCATCAAGGAAATAACATCCATCTGTGAACATGGAAAGGGAACTTCCATGTGTTATATGGACAGATATTGGACTCTGAGAAGACATTTAAAAGAATGTCAGTGGCCTAATAAATAGCCTTTTAGTCTGAGAATCAAGAAAATATGTATTCTCGGAGTTCTAAGCACCCAGGGTATAAATAACTTGGATAAGAGTTATAGATATTTTTAAAAACTACAAAGAATTCCCTCTGTTTCTATTTAAACAGTGACAGCTTTAATCAGAATATTTTAATATTTCGCTGCTAGAGTGCATCTCTAACACATAACAAAAACAAAAACTAGGACAGAAAACACTTCTGTAAGCCACTTTAAAACCTTGTGCATGTAGTCAAGCTATTCAAGCTATATTTCTGCTTTATAATTGGAGAAAGCTTCATGATGAGCTTCTACAAAAGCATTGGAAGTCTTTGTTTTTCACAAGGGAAAACCAGAAATACCATTTAGCTCAGAAATTCACCATAGCAAGCCTTGAGCTAAATAAAATGCTCCTAAGAATTTAGCATGGAACAAGGTCTTCAGGGTCCACAATGGCAGGGGACACAAAGGAGACACGGAAAAGGTACACTTCAGCCCTACAGAGAAACTCTAAAACTTAAATTGGTGCATACTTGTCTTGGCTAACATTACCATAGCAACTCAATAATCCTCATTCTTGGTGCCTCTTTAGGAGATACCTGTAAGGTTAAACAAGAGGACAGAGATTTCAAAACAGGAAAGCTTTGTCAGCAGAGAATTATCTGGATTTTCAGACCAAGGAAATGAGAGAGAGAGAGGAAACAAGAGAAAACTAAAGGTGTCTGCTCTTTATCATATAATCAGAAATATATTCGGTTGATGTAATTCATAGATTAGCAAGCTGCTTGCAAAAACAAAAGGCACATATGTAGGGTGACTATGAGCTAATGGTACTGCGGCTCACAATGATATTGTTTTTCTTATACGGAAGAGTATTTTTGTTAAATAGCTTAAAATCCCAGGTAGGGCCAGCAAGATAGCTCAGAAGGTAAAAGGGCTTGCCCTGCAAGCCTTATGACTAGAGTCAATCCCTGAAACCCATGATGGAAGCAGAGAACTGACTTATGGGAGTTGTCCACACATATTCCATGGCACATACACACCTGTACTTGTATAAACATCATACATACACAAAAATAAAATTTAATTTTAAAAAACTGGATATAAGTGAACACAGCGACAGACTGTTAATGATCCCATATTCTCTCCAATGATTAAGCAAAACTAATCACTCAGGATCAAGCCACTGAAACCCATTTTAAGATCTGGTTTCATAAATAACTATGTTTATCAAAGTTTCTTTTCTACACATGTAGTTTGATAAAGGGAAAGCATAGGAATTATAATTCCTTGACTCATAATTTCCTTCTGTGAGAATTAAATGATTTGATTGTGCAGTTTTCATCAATTTATAAAATTATTAAAGGCAATGTTGTAGAATCAGAACTCTAGATGCATTCAACTGTCAGTTTATCTGGTAGGTATTGCATCTCACCAACAAGAATATGGCTAAATAGCAAAGTCTATTTTTTTAAATTTATTTGTTATTTTTATTTTATGTGTATGCGTGTATTGCCTGCATGTGGGTAAGTGTACGATTTATAAAATTATTAAAGGCAATGTTATAGAGTCAGAACTCTAGATGCATTCAACTGTCAGTTTATCTGGTAGGTATTGTATCCCACCAACAAGAATATGGCTAAATAGCAAAGTCTATTTTTTTTAATTTATTTATTTTTATTTTATGTGTATACGTGTATTGCCTGCATGTGGGTAAGTGCACCCATGCTGTGCAGTGCCCTTGGAGGTCAGAAGAGGCTGTTGGATCCCCTAGGACTGGAGTTATGGACAGTTATTATCTGCCATGTGGGTGCTGGTATTCAAACCCAGGTCTTCTGCAAGAACAACCAGTGTTCTTAACTGCTGACCATCCCTCCAGCACCATCTATCCAGCACCAACCACCTCTCTCCATTCTTACTACTTATGCTGTGCCGTGCCCTCGGAGGTCAGAAGAGGCTGTTGGATCCCCTAGGACTGGAGTTATGGACAGTTATTATCTGCCATGTGGGTGCTGGTATTCAAACCCAGGTCTTCTGCAAGAACAACCAGTGTTCTTAACTGCTGACCATCCCTCCAGCACCATCTATCCAGCACCAACCACCTCTCTCCATTCTTACTACTTTGTCAATAAATTCAACTTTACCTTTTGTTTTGACTTTCACAGCTTTCTGTTGTTTGAGTTCAATACCCAATACATCATAAAGGGCAGTCAGTTCAACCAGGGCTAGGCGGCAAACTTTCTTCATGTCTTGGGGTGCCAGGTCGCCATCTCTCCAGCACCATCTATCCAGCACCAACCACCTCTCTCCATTCTTACTACTTTGTCAATAAATTCAACTTTACCTTTTGTTTTGACTTTCACAGCTTTCTGTTGTTTGAGTTCAATACCCAATACATCATAAAGGGCAGTCAGTTCAACCAGGGCTAGGCGGCAAACTTTCTTCATGTCTTGGGGTGCCAGGTCCCCAATCCTTGTGGTTCCTGTTTTATCTTTTGGCAGTCTGAAACTCTAAAAAATTACCATTAATATAGTAAAAGTTATCAGTATCTAAACCCTTTTGTAATACAAAAAGAAAAAATTGTAGCCATGCAAGAACTTATACTCAGGCTAAGTGGTAATGAAAGCTATGGTAGACAATCTTAGTCAAAATGCAGAGTGTTCCCTCCTGGAGAGCCCCAAAGCTCTGAGGAGTGATAGGATCCACGTATGAAGTCTGATATACAATGGAACTAGACCATGTAATGCAAGAACTCATACCAGTAGCTCAGAGAACAATGAACCCTAAGGAAAAGTGACTTCTATCTCACTGACCTTCAAGAATCAAAGGCTGGAAGTAAGATAGGAACTGTAATCAGGACGGGCAAAGAGGAAACGCGGCTAGGATGATCTGCCAAAGATAAATGGGAGGAAGAGAAAGCAGAACTGTTTCCATGAGTGTGTGCTTGGAATGTTCCAGGTACCATTCATATACATGATGTGCTCTTAATTGTCACAAAGGAATAGGGAAAATGGTACAGAGAGGCCAGAGGGTTACCAGTTATGCAGTTACTTATTAGCTATGTGATTGAGCAACTGCTTAACCTTCTGTCAAAAGAGAAGAGACCAAGAAGGAAGGAAAGGAGAGAGCCCCACTATTCAGGGGGCTATTGTGAAGTTTAAATGGTCAATACTACTAAACTACTTTTCTGTGTCTGCTATTATTATTATTTTCACTGCTGAACACAAGGAGACCTAAATACCACCCAGGATCCCAGGCATATCTTTGCTGTTTTGTGTCTTCCTCAAATTTAATCCATAAATGACTCAGCCTCCTTTAACATTACACATAATAAATAAAACAAACACAGGATAAAAACATAAATTTCTCTAGCATACTTAATATAAATTACAGCCCCACTGTTTGCTGAAGAAAACAATAATCATCCTCTAATAGTTTGGTTAAAAATTGGGTCCTATCTTTAGGGTTTCCCTTGAGCTTCATTGAATAACTAAGGAATTCAACTGATTTCCTCTCAAACAGGCATTCTCAAAGTGTGGTCTGGGAACCTTATGGGTACCAAGTAGCATAAAAGGTCAAACTTTAATTTAAAATAAATTTTAATAATTAACACTAAGACATTATTTTGCCTTTTCTTCTCTGTTTCTCTCATGAGTGTACAGTGGAGTTTTCTGGAAGAAAATGACATGTACTTTTTCAACAGACTGAGTGCTAAAGGAGGTATTTCCATTTTAAAGGGTATGTATGCTAATAATAATTAATGTTCTTGAGACAAGGTCTCCCTATGTAGACTTGGCCCAAGCTGGCCTCAAACTCACAGAGATCCCACCTGCTTCTCCCTCACGAGTGCTGGGATTAAAGACGGGTGCCATGACACTTTTAACTATATTTTGAGAGCATGATAGAAGTATAAGACCACAAATATTTGAGAGTTACTATCACAGAACAATTTCTAAAATCAGCAATTTTGAGTGATTGGGCAGTGAACTCCTTTCAAGTACACTCAATTCAAGAGAACTTTCAAGCCCACCAAAAGAGAAAGAGTGTCATTCTTAACTTCGGGTAGCACAATTTTTTTTCCTATGAGAATATTAAATAAAGTGTTTAGGGACATCATGGAAGGTGGAGTCTAATTAAATTCATTTGATCTCCATGGGACAGTGTGGTCAAGAATGTGGAGCCACATGGTAGGTAGTTACTTTATGTCTCCATCACTTACTAGTTGTGTTAGGCTTTTATCACTGTGACAAACACCTGAGGAAATACAACTAAAGAAGAACATTTATTTTAGCTCATGGTTTCAGAGATTTTAGTAGACAGCAGTAGAGAGGGCAGGATGGAGTAAATCTGCTCATCTCCTGGTGGCCAGGAAGGAAGAGGGAGCAGAGGGAGGGAGGAACACGCAGAGCAAGAGTGAGAGAGAGAGAGAGTGTGTGTGAGAACGAGAGAGAGAGAATGAATTTAGAATTTCTTCCCCTTTTGACTGAGGTTTTCCCTCTACCTTAGTTATCTCTGGAAATGCCCTCACAGACACCCAGGACTATGCTTTAGTAGGCTTCTATATGTCTAAGTGTCTCTCAATCCAATCAAGTTAATAATCAAGATCAACTAACTTACTAATGTCTCTATAGGATAAGAATAGGGCATATTCTAGGTAAGGGAAACAGGCTTAGTAAAAAGGCTTAAACATGGCTACATAGCGGGTGATGTAAGCCTCTGAATCTTCCATAACTTTCCTGTACTACTACACTTCCTCCTACTCCAGGCAGGCAGGGAACAGTTGAGGTTGACATGGGACTGAATCCCCAGGAGCAGAAGCTATATCTTCACCATCTCTCCAGCCCCATTCTATCACAGGTTTGAACAGGCTTAGTAAAAAGGCTTAAACACGGCTACATAGCGGGTGATGTGAGCCTCTGAATCTTCCATAACTTTCCTGTACTACTACACTTCCTCCTACTCCAGGCAGGCAGGGAACAGTTGAGGTTGACATGGGACTGAATCCCCAGGAGCAGAAGCTATATCTTCACCATCTCTCCAGCCCCATTCTATCACAGGTTTGGCATGCTTCAGGTACTCTGCCACAGTCTACTGTACAGTGGTGTCACTTCACTGGCATTCTTTGTTGTGGTTGTTGAGGATCTCCCTATGTAGCCTAGGCTGGCCCCAAAAGCCCTCTACCTACCAAGTGCTGGGATTACAGGCATATTTGTTCTCTCTCAGGTCCTTCTCCTAATTATCTGTGGTATTTCCCAAAGCTTTAAATGTTTTTAAAGTAGTGTTGGGTCATGCAGATATACTAGGCAAGCCCCTGCCACTGACCAATATCCTTGGTCCCTGACCTTTAAAATTCACACAAAATTTATCATGGTTTTCTCAAACATAGTCCTATATTTCTGCTAATTGCTTCATTTTCAAAAGGGCTGAATGAACCATATTTCCCCATTTACATGTTAAAAAAAAGTCCAAATGTTTCATTAAAATCAGTTTCTTTGGTCTAATAAGCCAAACACGTGTAATATAATTATTTGAAAACATTATCCAAGGTAAATGTTTAGAGAAACCTGAAATATTATTAGTTCAAACATTTGATTTACCTAGCAATAGATGTCATGAGCTTGTTTATTTATTTATTTAAACATTGTGCTTAATAAAGGACTTAGTTCTTTATCCCAATGTTTAATTCATAGAAGCAGTTTTAAATATTTATGAAGTTTCCTGTCGTTTTTTTTTTTGTTTAGTTAATAGACAGTATGGTACAGTTCCTTGGCTAAGAGAAGACTGCAATTTCAGCAAGATTAAAGCTCCTTACCTTTGGAACAATGCATTTAAGACAAAGAATAAAACACAATTTTCTTTTTTTTTTAAATCACAAGGTGGTTGGTTCCTCCATGTGACATACATTAGCAAGGCAGCTCTTCCTACCTGTACCCTTCTTTCACGGGCTGTGCAATCCAGCAGGGCGTGGTAAGGTATCTTAGGGATTTCATTAGTAATGATGGACTTGACTCTTTTACTCATCAACCACTTTAGCTTCGACACCAAAAGCAGGAGCAAAGCTTCGTAATAGAAGCCAAGTCCTAGCATGCTCCATCACTCCTCTAGCTTTATTGCCCATTTAATATAATGTCTACCTCACGAACCTCATTTGACGAATAAATGACATAATTACAGAACATAATTTCTGGGATATAACACATACACAATGCATAGTAGCTCAGCTTTCAAATGACTGCACCTTAAAAGGTATTAAATCTGATCTCCAAATATAAGAAAAGAAATGTGAATCCACTATGAGGGATCATGAAGAATTTACAATGATGCTCAATGTTGTACAGAAAGGGAGGCAAATGTGAACCGAGGTCAACAGAGAACAGTATATTACATAAAGCCTAGTGCTTATTTACAAGAGCAGAGAAGCATGACACAAAAAATGGAACTTAAGGCTTTATCTGTTTAGACACCTGCTTCAGTGTGACACTTATAAACATTCATTTCATCCACCATGTTAAGGGCTTGCAGGAACTCTACAACAAGCCCACGTCCTCTAGAAGATATATCTGGAAAAGCTGCAGCAGTAAACAGGTACACGCACGTGAAACCAAATGCACAGATGAATGGCAGGTGCCAAAAGCCTATTACTGCTTATTGAAAAGGCACTCTCAAATGTTTTATCAGATGTGGGAGCACAGTTGGGCACAGTGTGAACAAAATCAAGAAGGTAAACTGTGCTGGATAGCTTAAGTGTCAACTTCACACACCTGGATTGAGGGAGCCTCAAATGGGGAATTGCCTTCATTGGATTAGCCTGTGGCCATGTCCATAGGGCATCTTCTTGATTGTTGAGTGATGTGGGAGGGCCCAGCCCACTGTGGTTGGTGCCACCCCTGGGCAGGTGGGACTGTGTTGCATAAGAAAGCAGGCTGAGCAGGGGCCAGGGGAGCAAGCCAGTAAGCAGAGTTCCTCCACAGCCTGTGCTCCAGCTCCTGCCTCCAGGTTCCTGCCCTGAGTGCCTACCTTGGGCTCCTGGATGAACTGTGACCTGAGAGATGTAAGCTGAATAAAGCCTTTCCTTCCCAAGTTGGTAGTGGTCAAAGTGTTTTGTCACAGCAATGGAGAGACAAACTAGGACAGAAATTGGTATCAGGATCATGGGGAATTGCTGTGACAGACCTGACCTTGGTATTTTTAGGAGAATTGTGGAAGTGTTTGGAACTTTGGACTGGAAAAACCATCGAGTACTTAAGAGTTTGTTGCTGTAGAGCTTGGAACAGTTATGCTGAAAGGGTTGTGAACAATGGAGGCCTGGCTTGTGGAGCTTCAAAGGGAAACAGAGGCTATCAGGGCTGTTCATGTGAGATTTTGGATTGAGAATCTGTGGGTTCTGGTCGGCTGGGGCTGAAGAATCAGCTGTGATTAAGAAGAGACCAGAACCTGAAGTAAAAGCTTTGCTTTACTGGGACAATTGATGCTGGTTAGCTGGGGCTGAAAAATCAGCTGTAAGTAACAA